ATAAAATGAGCCCAATCCTGAAAAATAGAAACACCTCAATGACTACCAAAATAATAGTCCTGAAATCCTATGTTTGGTCAACCCTTCTATATGACTGTAAATGCTGGACAACCACTAAAGACAGTGGAAATAAAATAGAGGTAACAGAAACGTGGTTTCTTATGAGACTGCTGAGAATATTGTGGAAGGAAAAGAAATGAAATGAGGTAGTGCTTGATGAAGCCCACGTGGGACGCTCAATGTTAAAAACAATCAGAAAACGACAGATGCAGTTTTTGGGACACCTGGATAGACATAAAGGTCTTGAACATCTAGCTCTCACTGGCAAAATCGAAGGCAAGCAAGGCAGGGATTGGCCCAGGGCAACCTACTTAGGGAACATAAACAAATGGGCAACGTGGAAAGATCAGGGAAAAGTCACTTTTTAAAGAGCACCCGAGCAAAAGAATGAATGGAGAACCATGATCGCCGATGTCTGTCTCGGATGATGATGGGTGGGCTTAGGTGGCAAGTCTCAACCAGGCCAGGCGGAGCCAACCCGGGCTGAAAGGAATACAACGTCTTAGCAGAAACACAGAGACACTCGATATGTAAACAAAATTTCCACACATGGGATTCAAACCCAGGTCTTCTGTATGTGGCGGAGAACACCTAACTGCTACACCACAGACGACTGTTTCTTCACCTTTAGCGATCGATGTTTAGTTTAGTTTAGTAGAGGTTTTACGACGCTCGCAACTGCATAAGGTCATATGAGCGCCAATGGGTGGATCTTAACAGAGAAGTCAATACGGGGAATCAGGCTTACTCTGCTCACCCCTCTGGCTTCAACAGCACAAAGTCTGCTTCGACTATCAAGACACCCCGGAAATAGCCGTTCACAAGAGAGTGACAAACATACAAAACGAAGTAGAGGGAAAATGACGATAATAAGGATTATGAAAGAAAAAGCAGCAGTTCCCTGTATGCAGTTCAGGCACAGTTATGAGCATGGCATTGATGAATCAGCCCATTTACACTTCTACTGAGCATAAGAACATATTACTGCCCCCTCCCCCCTTTGGGAATGGCCTAAAGACACTTCAGTTAGTAACAACGCCCCCCCCCCCCCCGGGGGGTAGATCAATGTTAAGCGTCAGATTCTTTTCGACCGTAAAATATTGTATCTCCGACATGATTGTGTCCGTGAGTAAAAGAAGAGATTAAAAGATTTAGATTATGTAGAGTCGATAAAAAAGAGAACCCACTGACATAATGTGCATCTGACATTCTAGGGGGAATTATATACTTTATTGAATCATCATCATCATCTTCATCATCATCATCATCATCATCATCATCATCATCATCATCATCATCATCATC